TCTCTTTAGCAAGATTCTTTAATTTCTTCCAGTTCTTTTTTTAATTCAGCAACTTCTTGTTTTAAATTAGTATTGGACATATCTTTATGTTGATTTTACGAGCAATTCTTAACAAATTTTTATAAGTTCAAATTCTCTAAAAGAGAAAAAAATTGTATAATATAAAGTAAAAAATAATCATGGTAAATGCTCAAGAATGATTGGATAAAGAATATCTATGCAATTGTAATCGTCGTTCTTCTTTTGAGTTTCACAATCAAGAATGTAAAAGACGTTTAAGCGAGCTAGATTTCAGCAACCAAAATCTAGTTGGCGACTTAGATTTAACCGATTTTTATAACTTGAGAGAAGTAAATATTTCAGGTAATCTCCAATTGGGAAAGTTAAAAACCTATGAAGAGGGTGGTTTTTCATTGGCCATTTTTAAAATTAATGCTCAAGATTGGTTGAACTGAAAATATCCTAACAAGCAGATCGTAAAAGTAATTATTGATTCAGATGACGAAAAAAAAGGGTTGCTGCCACGGAGATTGGAAATCAATGGTGAATTGGCTATTAGTGACTTTCTCCAACTAGAAAAAATATGAATCCAATCCCCAGAAAACTTAACTAAACTAAAAGTAAGTAATTGTCCACAACTAGCTGAAGTTTATTGTTCTAATGGCAACCTAAGTAGTTTAGTTTTTGATAATTGCCCCAATTTGACTCATCTTTTTTGCTGAAATAATAAATTGGTTGACTTAGATGTAAGTATCCTAAGTAATCTTATTGAGATTCGTTGTTCAAATAACTATCTTAACAAACTAGATTTAAGCAATTGCCGACAACTTAGCACCCTTGATTGCCAAGATAGTGATCTTGGGGCTTTGGACACAAGCAATAATCTTTTTTTAACTAGGTTACTTTGTGGCAAAAGTTGCCCAAAAGGAGGCAAAAGCAACCATTTAACTAGTCTGGATTTAAGCAAAAATGTGTGACTTAGCACAATTGACTGCTCTGGCAACCAATTGACTGAATTAGACCTGAGCAACCAAACTCAACTTACCAGCCTTAATTGTTCTAAAAATTTGCTTAGAACTATTACATTGCCTACAACCGGTCAAGAAAATCTAACTTCTTTATATCTAAATGATAATAACTTTCAGCGAGTTCGTGACCAAAGAAATCTGGGTGACATTTATTTTTTTCAAAATTACAGTCATGCCGCTTGACAAAATTTATCTTTTTTAGAACCATTCGTCGGTCTAAAAAAACTTTGACTGGGAAATACTAAAGAAGAAAGAGTGAACTACCCACCACCTATAGAGGTGGGGGCTTCTAACAACTCAGAAATTATTTCTCAATTCTACACAGCGCCCA